CTGTCTTTGCGAAGAGTCAATTGCTGTCCTGCTTCAAAACAAGAAAAGTGTTTTTTTATGGATTTAGGGTTAAAGCAGCACTATGTAACTTTTTCTGTGTTAAAAATGTGCAAAATGTATAAAATGAGCGAGTATATCATGAATTCATCTTCCAAACAGTGTTTGTGTCTTATTCCGAATCACTACGGTACACTTATAATAAGTACTTATATTTGGACTATTGTAGCCTGGTCGGGTCGTCACCGCTGCGGAGAAACACATACCTGCGTGAATCGCCATAGACATAAACTTAGAGAAGTAGCTCCGGTTGGAATGTTCTTCCGCAGGATGTGTGCAGTTCTGTTTATTAACCGCTAGAGAGACAAAAATGACATAGTGCTGCTTTAAATGGTGATTTTTTTTGTGTGCAACCTGGATGCAACTAGTGAGTGGTGGGATTTTTTGCTAATAAAATGATTATGCCAGAAAACTGTCATGAAAACAGTTTCATCTGTCTCTGTATCATCTTAGTGAGCTTTTATTACGTTTTACGCATGTGCAGATTGAAGCTTTTGAGATTTAAGCATTTTGGACGAGCAACTCTTGGGAAAAAAAATTGAAAACACTAGTGTAGATAGAGAGATTAAAAAAATGTCCATCTATTTTCCATCACTGTGTCTCATATCCATCTTTTTGACTGCCTTCATCTATCCCCTGTACAGAGAGACTCAAGAATTTGGCAATATTTTGTGTAAAACAGATTCAAAGCACTTTGAAATTGACACTGAAATTTGCTAAGAGAGAGGGAGAGAGGCCAGAACTATTGCTGAGAGCTCTGAGAGACTCTTAACATTATGTTTTGGGTTGTTTGGTCCAAATTCACTGCCAAAGTCTTAATGAAGACTTCTGAATTAGCAGTCCATCTTTTTCTCTCTCTGACTCCACCCTTCACAAACAGCCACATACTCTCCCACATTCACTCGCTACCTGGAGACACCGTGACACTAAGCCAGCCAATCAGCTGCCTGAGAACTCGGCTCCTGCCTTCCAATTGGCCGGCCACTCCAGCTCTCATTACATCATCAATGCGGCCGTCATTGTGCCATCTGGCCACAACCAGAGCCAATTACTGGCCAAGAGTCTGAAGAACACAAACAACCAGATAATGAAGCAAAGCAGAGGGTAACATATAACAGGAGCCGTGTAAGTCCTGAAGGGATCCAGACATTAAGAGTGTGTGTCTGTTGTTTTGAAGAGGATCTGTAATGAGAAACACACATAAACAAAGAGCTCTATGCCTTTATGTTTAAACAATGTGTTTAAATGAAAGCAAATGTGCATTGTCAACACACACACACACACACACACACACACACACACCTCATCGTGAACAAAAGAACTCTGAGCTGCTTTTATCTTCTTTAAGAGCTCTAATCAGTTCATCATGTTTCTTTTTCTCTTCCTGTCTTTCACTTCACTTTCTCTCTGTTGAACATCTAGTTTCCTGCACTGAAAAAATTAGTGTAGAAACAATTTTCATTCAGGAATTGCTAGTACTGCAAACAAACAATGACAAAAAGATGACAAGTAACACATTTAACAATTAAATGTAATTTTTTTAAGTAAGACTGAACCTTCTTTCTTTCTTTCTTTCTATTAAAATTTAATTAAATTTTATTTAATACACGCTCCACTTATCGTTTTAACATATATATATATATTTTTTTTTTTGTAAATGTGAGTGATTTTGGCACAGTATTATTTCTGTACAAGTTATATACTATCACAGTAGATATTAATATTTAGTTTTTATTTTTAGATTTTCAGGCTATTTTAATTTTAGTGTAAGTTTTATTAATTTTGTTATGTGCATTTCTCATTTTTATTAGTTAATGTAGTTAATGTTAAGAAATTAAAACTAATAAAAAATTATTCGTTTTCATTTCTGAAAAGAAGTAACTACATTAGTTGACAAACTAACAATGAACATTCAATGAGCTTCAACAGCATTTATTAATTTCAGTTTAATATTAATATCTACATTTATGAATAAATTTTTAATATCAAAAGTTGTTTCTGTTAACATGAGCTAATGCACTGAACTTAAGGTTAACAAATGCTGTAAAAACATTATTTTGTTAACTAGTGAACAAAATCAGACCTTATTGTAAAGTGTAATTTTAGTAGCTTTATTATATTTCAGTTAGTTGCCAAGCTAACATTTATAATGTCTATTAAAGTTTTTAATTTTTATATTTTAATTCAGATGTATTTCATTTAACAGTTTTTAATAGTTTTAGTTTTACTTAATAACACTGATGCAAAACCTGCGATGTGATGGTAGGGTGTAAGAATGTGGAGAGCCACTGTTTTATGAACTCCCACAGGGGTCAGAGGTCAAGCTTTAATGAAAACCAACCACAAAAGCAGAGACATGAAACACTCACATGCTTCAACACACTTCCATTCAACAACACACACAAAACAGGCTCTGAAGCTCTAAAGATGCAAAACAGAGGCACCTGAGTCAAACTCTTCCTGACAACTGGCACATCAAACACTCCATTAAACAACTGTAATTCACAAAACAACATTCACTATTATTAGTCTTTATATTTAGGGTTAGTGATTTGAACAAACCCCTAACACCAAGTCAGGGGCGTAAATTTTGTATAACAGTTGGGGGGGACAATAAACATAAAATTTCTCAAGAGCAATTTTTGAAGGGGACACAAATAATACAGCTAAAATTGTACTTGTAAGGACAAGTATACACAGCCTTACTACTATTAGTGCAGCAGGGAGACCGTGTCAAATTAGACAACTTCAAGCTGTTGTGGTCACGCTGCGACAGCGTTCGTGTCCATTGTAGACATTACCATCCGTCAAGCAGGTAACGTTATTATTGTTGACAGCCTTACTTACTGGAGTTCCACAACTATTGGCTTTGTTCTCTCTCACCGGACTTGTGTGTGTGTGGGTGATGTAAAAGAGGAAAGCAGGCATTTGGACCAAAGCACTGAGGCAAGGGAGGGGGAGACTCAAAATGTTTCTAAACTTAAAACGCATTTTTGCCCCGTTTGCATTGTTTTACTACTTACAAAGTTATTTAAAGGATAACACATTATTTACAATACACAGCGTGGTTTTTAATCATATTTTTAGGGGGGACAACCCTCAGATAGGGGGGTCCTGTCCCCCCCGACCCCCCTGGGATTTCCACCTATGCACCAAGTATAAACGATAGTGATAATGATGCATGTACAAAACAAACAAGCACTATATGCTGTCAGGAGTCTGTGAGTGAAACACATCCGGCATGAGCTGCTCTGTGGATGAGTCTGATTCTATTCCTGGAGGAAAAATCACCGTGGTTACAGGGAATGGAGGGATTCCAAAACAAACATTCCACCCTGCTCCCAACTCCTCGTCTCATTGAACATCTCTTAAAAAAAACCACATACTACACCACTGAGAAAGACAGATGGACCTCACAGCACACGGCAGAAACTGCTAACCCAATTAACCCATGTGCCAAACAACTCACAAACAGGAAATCAGACTTTATGTGACCTTCATGTTTTGTGTGTTTACTGTAAGATGCATTTTTCCCTGTGTCTGTATGAGTTGTAATAGAGAAGTGTGTGTGAGTGTGTTAGTCTGGGATTTGCTGAGAGGAAATTCCAAATCATAGCTGCATTTTTCTGCACTCATGAGACATAAAACCAGCACACAGATGCACACACAGGAATGTCAAATAAATGCTGTACCAGTCATACCAAATTACACACACAAGACATGTTCCATAAACGTTACCACACATTTGTGTTCTGTACAGTCATATTGACTTTGTGCATGTTCTCTCTTATACATATATCTGAGGCACTAACAAAAAAAGGTCCTAAAAATACCATGGTATTATCATGTTTCTAGAAAAGTGCACCATTTGGAAATTTACTATGGCATTCTGTAAAATATCATACCTTTATGGAGGTTCTTAAAAAAAGAATAGTTCAGCCAGAAATGTGCTGAAAATGGACTCACCGTAAGGTCGTTTTAAGATGTAGATGAGTTTGTTTCTGCAAAAGATTTGGAGAAATTTATCATGTTACCAATGAATGGGTGCCGTCAGAATGAGAGTCCAAACAGCTGATAAAAACATCACAATAATCCACACCACTCCAATCCATCAATTAACATCTTGTGAATTGAAAAGCTTGAAAAGCTGCATGTTTGTAAGAAACAAATTCATCATTATGGAGTTTGAAGTTCAAACTGTCGCTTCAAAGCCAAAAATATGAGTCCAGAATCCAAAATAACGCTTGCTTTCATGAAACAGTTGTCCATTCATAGCAAAATCCACCCCCGTATTTGCTTAGAAGGGTTTTGGCTTTATCTGTGCATATTTCTCTCCTGATTCAGACAAGACAACTTTTTCACTGGGTGAAGTGTTATTATGCATAGGGGACTTTATTTTAGCCAGAAGCAATGGTTTGAAGTTTAAAAAATATCTTAATGATAGATTTGTTTCTTACAAACATACAGATTTTGGCTTCACAAGTGGTCTGGAGTGGTGTGGATTACTTGTGGATTATTGTGATGTTTTTATCAGCTGTTTGGACTCTCATTCTGACGGCACCCATTCACTGCAGAGGATCCATTGATGAGCAAGTGATGTAATGCTAACTTTCTCCAAATCTGTTCTGATGAAGAAACAAACTCATCTACATCTTTGATGGCCTGAGGGCAAGGACATTTTTAGCAAATTTTCATTTGTGGCTGAACTATTTTTTTAAGGAAGATTTTTTATTTTTTTTTGAAAGGTTTTGAATATTTAATACGGTTTATTGTAAGAGTCCAAATACTTTGGGGTCCATAAGTAAATTTCAGTTACTACAAGTACCTTACAAGTACCATACCTTTTGCTATCGAGGGCATTTTCAAATATTCCATCAATCCAATAATAGCAAAACCAGTCAAACACACAAATATACATACACACACACAAAATCCATATGGAATAAGTATTAAAGATGATGTTTTAATAGTGTGGTTTAGAGACAACCAGAATAAACAGCTCTACAGTCAAAACGCAATATACACAATTTGACCAAATGGATCTCACCAATACAATCTCTATATTAGTACAATAAAACAATCAACAATAAAAATAGACAAAGAAAAACTGTTCTTAAAAAAACATCAAAACAAAGAAAACACACAGTCTCTTTGTTTTTCCAGTGATCTTTATCCAGCTTTTTCAATAAAGTGAAACTGACTTGCACAACCACCAATACGATCAATCGGCTTTGAAGCAGAACCTGTTGGCTCCCAGTTCTCCAAAACTGGAAAAATTGGAAATTTGGCTTCAAAAACTCCAGAAAAACAAAAAAGCAGGATGTTCTCAAGCTCTTTCGGACTTAATGGTTTCTAGGCAGCATTTAGAGAACGGACCACTGCCGAAACATTGACGTCGTTTTACACACATTACATAAATGCATATATATTTTAATATAGTTTAATCCGGAAGACAAGTTCTCAGGATTTCTTGACAAATGCAGTCCGAGCTATGGCTTTAAACAGTGATCTCTACCCTCAAACTTTCAGCCAACATCAACATTCAGGTAAGTCATATTGCAAAGCTGAAACTCCGAGGTCATATTTCCCCGTGTCACTGACACAAACTTAGTTTACGACTCGAGAGCAATCTTAACGCTCTAAAGGTTAAACAGTATCAGCTGGTGATCAGTCGACATAAAGGCAGGGACATTTGCTCACCATCTTTTGAAGACTGCAATGAAAAATACTAAAGTTTAATAAGTCTATGTGCAGATATTTCAGCACCAATGATAGAAGTGCTCTGCCACAGTCCCTCAGATTTGTCTTGATCAAACCGTTTATCAGAGAAATAAATGCCAAAGGACCTGTCAATGTTACTTTTGCCCAGTTCACAGTGACTTTTTACTCAATGTCTGGCAGTAAATGAAAAATGATTTATTTTGTGATGGTGAAATGCCACTGAAAATTGTGTGATGTATGTATCAGCAGATTGGATCAGCATATCCATATAACTATAGCACAAACACAAAAACACGACGGACATTTATGAAAACACGCATAACTGACCAATGCCGTTCATGAAAACCACTGTGAAGTAGATTATTGCATTCAATTCAATGCAACAATTTATGCACTTTTTTACTAATGTTTTATCAGTTCTACCTGAAACCATTTTTGCATAAATTGTCACATTTAATTCCATGCAATGATTTATACAAGAATGGTTTTATGAATGACTGGAATGAATGAGGCTCATTGATTGTAGCCAGTGAAAAATACAAGTATTTTTAAGATTCAAACAACACCATTCACTTAAAATGACAGAAACAGAAGAGCACAGGAAGAGAGAAATAATCTTGTGAACAGGTACCAGACCTCCTTATGATGGCTACAGAACCTCAAGTACATTCTAATTGAACATGCATTTATGGGATCGACATTATTGGCACGTTGCTTTTCGAGTACAATAATGTGACTTATTTCAAACTTTCAGCCATGTGATGTGTTTTAAAGTCAAAGAGCAAAACAAAAAAGCTAATTGTTAAAGAAAAACAGATGTTTGTTTTAAAAAGGAACCAGAAGAGGATGTTCAGATGAATTTGGAATGGAACAAAAATGTTCTGGAATCTATATACTAATCTTTGGAGTCTTTGCAAATGCAGACAACAGAGATAACGGACAGATGAAATCTTGTGTTTAGAGAAAGAGTGCTAGACAATGACAAAATGACTGTGACAGTGATGAGATGAGGCCACTCCTTCAGTATGATGGTCAATAGGAAGACGTGTGGGCTTACTCGAGGGGTGTGGTTTAGCGAGAGCCCCGCCCTCGCAGACTTGGTCCTTTTAACCGGCAGGATCAGCAGAGGAAGTCCTTAATTTGAGCGTAATGGAGCGTCGTCTAAGAGGTCCTCCAGCGAGCCCGTGTCTTCCGGAGACGACTCTTTCCTGTCCTCCACTTCCAATCGGGTCTTTTTCGTGGCACTGGGCGGGGCTACCTCTTGAAGAAGCTCTTTGGCGAGAATGTTTGTCACGGCCTGACCGGCTCCTCTCCGATTGTTGGCTGAAATGGAAAGGGAAATAATAAATAAAGGGCAATTAAAAAGATATTCAGTTTCATGCAGGTCAAACATCAAGCTGGAAAGGAAACTCTTTGAGGTCAGACACAGGTGTAAGAGTTCAAAGGTCATTGCTTAAAGCACTGCAGTCAAAAACAACCAACAACTTACCTTTTTATATGAATATGCCAGGTTATTTTCCACTTACTGATCGCTACAGACAATGATTTCAACTCGTTCCTCAAAACAGACCATATTTTACAATAAAAAATAAGCTTACGGATTGAAAGGTTTAAAAGCATAAATGTGAAGCTCATATTGTTGTTAAATTGCTCAAATGTAAATGCATTATATGCCAAAACCATTTTTTGAGGTAGGATTACTTTACTACACTGCAAACAATACAAATATCTAGACATAATTAAATCAAGACACATCTACTTGAGAAGGAAAATAACTTGAGGTATCAAGTCATGTTGTCTGAAAAATGTATCAAATTTAAACGAGTTTATACTGAAAATAAGAAAAAATATGAACTATTGTAACTTATCTGACAAGAGATATATATATAAAAAAGTGAATTACCATTTTTATTTTTTATTCAGTCGCAGTAACAAAAAAAAAAAAAGTCAGAATTCTGAGATGTCAACTCAAAATTCAGAGAAAAAAGTCAATTGTGAGCAACAAAACAACAAAAAAAATAATTAACTTATGTTTCACAATTCATACGTGTTTTACTAAATCTAAAGCAAGCCGCACATGCTAAGCTATTCATCAACGTGAAGTTGAAAATAACCTGGAATATTCCTGTAAACACCATCAGATTGATATCCTGACGTAAGAGACAGCTGCATAACATCATATATGTGCGCTGGCAGTTATGTTGGTATATTTAGGACACTGTGAGAGAGTCGAGTGTTTACACACAAGTCAGCTGCAGAACAAATCTCCTGTGGTGAGACATTCATATGAAAATATTGTCTGATAATGTCATATTCCATTCACATTATCCAGCCTGTACGCAAAACAAGACCATGCAGAGGAAACCATGATTACACACACACACACCAGTGCCACTGATAACAATCTCTGAACAAACATCAGTAACGAAGCATGCGGAGCGATAGTGAACACACACACACGCACAGACGTTACCAAGCAGGTGTCCAGTGTGAGCTGAGATAAAGACAGCACTGAGTCAGTTGGGGAGAAAAAGTCGTTATGGGTGCGTTTGTAGCTTTGGGTTGTGAGTGTCAGACAGATGGGACCCTATAAACATTTACAATGGTAACAGAGTTGTGTTTCTGCTATAAAATGATGGTCACTTTCTATTACTACACTGTGTCTAAACAGGTTCCCAACAATAAGTATTTTGTGTTTGGTTGTTTCTTATTAAAATGCCACAAGATGATCACAGTTTATCGGAAAATGTTTGATGTTTAATATACAGTCATGTGGATTTCGGACCAATGACATTTCACTGCAGGACTACAGAGTGATATGAATCAGAAATAGACAACATGGAAAAAGTCAGTCAGTTGTCACAGTTTACTATTTAACCTATTTTTGTCTAGTTTTCCAGGTCAAATATCAAAAACATTTTAAATCAGGATGCATTTACTTGAGATGCAAAATGACTTGAGATAGTAAAATTTTAAGTCTTGTTTTCACTTGTATGTGAAAGAAATGTATCACAATTAGGAGAGTTTCCTCTATAAAAAGATGGAATATCTGCCAGTGTGGTCTGAAAAATAAACATTCTAAATAACAACAACAACAATAATAATAATTAAATAGTATTATCAAATATTACATTAAAATCTAAAACTTAATTAAAAATAAAGCTGTTTTAAATTTTTTTTTCTTGTTTAGGCAATAAATAATTAAAAAAATAAATAAAAAGGTAAATACAAAAATAAAAAGCATGATTTTTTTCAGGAAATAAGTCTTAAGATGTCATTTTGTATCTCTATGTATATCTTGATTTAAGAATGTTTTGATATTTGTAATGGAAAATAAGACAAAATATTAAATAACATTACTTTTAATAGTGTTGGTTAAGACGAAAAAAAAAATTAGATTGGTAGTTTTTACGCATTTTACTCAATTAGTTACAGTTCACCGTTTTACCTCAGTATTTTTGTCTCATTTTCTAGGTCAAATATCTAAAATGTTTTAAATCAGGATGTATTTACTTTAGATGCAACATGACTTAATTGTAATGTATCAAAATTAGGATAGTTTATTCTTAAAAAAGAAGGAATGTCTGCCAGTGTGGTCTAAAAAAAAATAAAATTTCTGAATAATAATAATAATAATAAAAAATATATATTATTATTATTAAATATTATATGAAAATAAAAAATAAAGTAGTTTTTCAGTTTAGGCAATAAATAAATAAATATATTTTTTTAAATAAATGAAAAAATATATATATCTTTTTCAGAAAATAAGTATTTTGATGTCATTTTGCATCTCAATTATGTATATCTTGATTTAACAATGTTTTGATATTTGTAATGGAAAATAAGACAAAATATTAAAGAACATTACTTTTAATCGTGTTGGTTAAGACAAAAAAATCTGATTGGTAATGGAAAAGGTAGTTTTTACTCAATTACAGTAAAAAATAAATAAATAAATAAATAAAATAAAAATCACCTGATTAAACACACTGTCATTGTTGATAAATAAATAAAAGATTGAGTCTTCTGACACTCTGACCAGTGGATCATTAGGATCATGAATGCATCTCAAACTCTTCTGCATCACATAAAAGAACATCTGAAGATGACGTGTTTCCATTGAGACGAGTCACATGAGCAGCTGTGTGGTTTAATTAACTTCTTTAATTAGAGGAGAATGAACGAGAGACAGCAAACGTTATATAAACGGCCCACATAATGACAGATTCACATCTGAACCGCCTTTGCATTCTCCTGGCTTTCATCTTTTTCGCTCTTTTGCATCCTCCTTTGCTTCCTTAGGATCATTCTGTTGTTTCAATGCAAAGCTAAATTTAAATGTAATGTCATCACACTTTTTATTGCTGCTATGTGTGTGTGTGTGTGTGTGTGTGTGTGTGATTCAGACTGTCTGGGTGTAAAAACAGAGATAATTATGATCAGAGTAATGAAGCTAAAAATAAGCAAGTCTTCACACAGTGTCTGGAGGTGTTCAGCTCCCCCCTGAGGCAGAGCATGTGACTGCTGTGTGTGTGTGTGTGTGTGTCTAACATGATTAAGTGTGTGTGGTATTGTTCCTCCAGCAGCAGCAGTGTGTGTTGCTCTTTTGGTGGGATGGTCAGAGGGTGTGTCCTGCCTCAATGTTTGTGAGCTGGACAAAAGAGGTGTGCGTGTGTCTGTGTGTTTTGTGGACATCTGGCACACAGTGTGTTTCTCTGTGGGTGTTTGTGTGTTTGGGCTCTATGAAGTGATATTGTGTGTTTGTGAGTGTTGGGCACAGGGTGTGTCTCTGTCTCTTTGTGTGTGTCTTTCATGGAGGAGTCAAGAGTGTGTGTGGGGTCACGACACGGCAGATGTGTGTATATTAATGAACAGCCTAAAAACAGACACATCCACACCAGCTACATCTTCATTTGCATACTATCTGTCCTAAATAGGTTGCAAGATTAGGATTTGTGCATGCCAAGTAGTACATTATGCACATTAAAAATAGTAGTCAAGTAGCATATGTGGATGTTCTTTGACCTAGCATGGACCTTAGTGAATGTAGACAAAATTTAATTTGATACAATTATAATCAGGTTGTGAAGGATGAAAATGACTACTGGAAAGTTACTGGAAAGTTTCTGGAAACATCTGTCAAAGCCTTGTTTGAATTCATTTCAAATTAAATATGGTTTCTATCCTGACTAAGATCCATTACTCACTATTGCACGATTTGAGAAAAATGTATATATATATATTTTTACCTTTGTTTACCATATATACACACACACACACACACACACACACACACACACACACACACAGGTAAATTCTTTTGTATTGTTTGTAATAAATAATATTATTAAAAATATATATTAAATAATATCAGTTATTGTTATTATTACTAAAATAAAAATGAATAAATACCAAAATAAGAACTATTACTTTTGTAATATTTCACTGTAAAATAACAAAAAAAATAAGGTCTCACTTTATATTAAGTGGCCTTAACTACTATGTAATTACATCAAACAAATATGTACAATGTACTTATTGTGTTCATATTGTATTGCAAAACAGGTAAGGTTAGGGACAGGTTTGGTGGTATGTGTAGGTTAAGGTGATAGGGATCGGTCAACAGTGTAATTATAAATGTAATTAATTACATGCAGGTATTTTTAAAAATATAAGTACAATGTATAAACACGTGCATTGTACCAAATAAATAATACAGTATTAATATTCATGGCTGTCTTAATTTATTCCCATACATTTATTTAATTAAATTATGGCATTTGCGATTTGAAAAAAAAAAAAGTTCGGTTTTATGTTGATTATTCATGCAGCCCTACTAAGGAGTTTTTAGATGTAGATAAACGTTAAATTGTTATAAATGTTCAAGTTAAATAAGAAAAGTTAAGTTAATTAATTTAGCTAGATGCAAATACATGACAAAGGGGAATATGTTAAAGATTTCATGAGGTAGTAATATGCCTCAGTACTGGTGTACTGTCTAATTATGTACCAAGTATGTATTTTCATCATCATTATGTACTTTCATGATCATCATTTTGGCGGGAAGTATGCAAGTTAAATGCAGCCACAAGTTAACATGAATCTGTCTAACAAAAGCCTTGTGAAGCTCATAGATTTTATCCCAATTATTAATATTTTAAAAAAATGTTCCATGTAGTTTCCACCAGATATGAGGCAGCACAGCATATTTTTATACATATATTTGTATTTGTGTCTTTGTAAGCATGTGATTAAAGCAGCAGCTGCCATCTGTCGCTCAGTATCTCTCTGATTGGCTGATGAATCATTATGCAGAGGGTCAGGGGTCAGAGGTCACAGGGCGTCTTCTGTCTCCACACTGCATGCCTGCGGTCTGTCTAAAAGCATCTAAACTCTGTGTGTGTGTGTGTGAGAGAGTGAACGCATCCATATGCAGAATGGGTGTGTGTTGGTATGCATGAGTGTGTGTGTCTGTGGCATATGTTGAGGGGTTGAGTCACAGGCACCAAGTGTAGCTCCGTCTGTGTTGTCTACATATTCAGCCTCCTACAAAGGCAGCATCCTAACTGATTTGGAATGTCTACAGAGGCTGTAACATCATTTCACAAACAAGAATATCTTTCACACACTGATGCATTAACCTACATAACAACTGAACCAAGAGCAATACTGTTGCATAACATGATATACATAATGATGCATAACATAATGATGCCTTAACATGCTGTCTAGGTAGGGAGCTCATTAGGTTTTAGAGATATAGAAAAGAGAGGGAATATAAGATGGTAAAATAAAAATGGCCTGACTGAAGAGAGGAATGGAGGGGGCAAAATGAGGGAGAGTATGTCATGGAACTAAATACAAAAGATAAAAAGCGCGGGAATGCGGAGGCGGAGAGAGAGAGAGAGAGAGAGAGAGAGAGAGAGAGAGAGTGTATGGTCATTATTGCCACATAGCAGCACATCTGGATCCATTCAACGACAGATCCAGTTACACACACACACAGCGCTGCTCCACACTTTTTGTAAGTCTAAAATACAGTGAAAAGAGGGAAAATAAAGCACACATGGTTTACTATTGTGTGCAGTTCTGATCAACATCTCTGTTGAAACATGCTTGCATTTCAAAAGTTGTGCGGCTGGTAATTTTTAAAATGTTTTTGAAAGAAGCCTCTTTTGCTCACCAAGGCTGCATTTATTTCATCATAAATACACTACAAACAGTATTATTCTGAAATATTAACATTTAAAAAAGTTTCTATTGTAATATACTGTATGTTATAATGTAATGTAATTTATTCCTGTGATCAAAGCTGAATTTTCAGCATCATTACGCCAGGCTTCAGTGTCACATGATCCTTCATTCTAATATGCTGATTTGCTGGTTAATAATTTTTGGTTATTATCAATGTTGAAAACAGTTGTGCTGCTTAATAGTTTTGTTGAAACTGCGATACATTTTATTTTTCAGGATTCTCTGATGAATAGAAAGTTCAAAAAGAACAGGATTTATTTGCAATAGAAACCTTTTATAACATCATAATTGTCTTTACTGCCCCTTTTGATCAATTTAACAATTTTTTAAATAAAAGAATTAATTTCTGACCCCAAACTTTCTGACACTCTACATTTACATTTAGGAGATGCTTTTATTCAAAGTACACATTTTATCATGCTTTCACTGGAAATCAAACGACAAACTTGGTGTGTGTGTCATGTTTCTACGCTCTTCTTTTATCTATTATTGTGTATCAATTCACTATGGTAACTTTTAATATAGTGATTTTCTGCATTTTGTACTCCCTCAACACCAGCAATCCCTGCACATGATAAATCAACTTTAATCTGATGTGTGTTACCTGCTTGTCGTGGTCCTCTCTTCCTTTTGAAAGCAGCTCCAGACTGCAGCGCCTCCAACAAACCATCCATGATACCAGTCTCATCATCTGAAACACACAAATGCAACATTAAACACACACAGACAATTAACATTATACATAGATAATACTCTCATTGCTATTTGAAACACACACATGAAGTATTAGTGAAGTATTATTAGTACACATGAAGTATTACTGCTGAAACACATATGTAGAATCTCAGAGCAATGGTCTCAGCTACAGTGACATCAGAAGAGAGAGAAGCAAAGGATCATGGGAATGTAAACATCCTCTGAGACACAAGTTAAAGCAGATGGCGCCCCCTATCTTTCACACACTGATGCATTAACCTACATAACTGAACCAAGAGCAATACTGTACCACACACACACACACACACACGCACACGCACACACGCACACGCACACACGCGTGCGGGGAAGGACAACATGATTTAAAAATATTTTGTCTGTTCAAAATAGTTTGTTGAAAGTGTGTGTTTTCATATGGTAAACGGGTTTCAGGTTTGTTTTCACGTGTGTATAGACAGATGGTTTCAATCAGGTCCTCTTTGTACAACATGAGGTTAAAGATTTATGGGTCTAATATCCCCCTCCCCCATAAACACACACACACGCACACACCTCCCCCGATAAACACACACACACTGTAATCCCCGCAAAATCTGCAGCCAGATGGTTTTGCATCTGACCTGACAACCTACATCACACACA